AAAGGTATAAGGTTTCTGCTTAGATTCAAGCCTTGTCTTTCCTCTGCCATTCTAGATTGCTCGGTTTGCTGCTCCACTCCATTTGCATTCTTCTGCCATATTAGGTCATCTTGGTAAACCTTTCAGTAGATTACTTGATGAACTTCACTGGTGCAGTTGAAAGCCCAGTGTTAATTTCACAGGATTTATAAACTCTGCTGATGTTCAAACAATCCACAGAGCAAGTGCACTGACATGACAGCTCTGTTCAAAACAAGCCTTGTTTGCTTCCTTTTGTGTTAAAGCTGCTTCCATCTTCCAGGGCTCTGCTGGCACTGCACTGTGAGTGGCAAGTGCATTTATTACTGTCGATGGGGAGAGACCGATAACAACATACATTTCATTGTAATGGGCTGTATCCTGCTCTACTGAAGAGGATGATTTGTGTGTCCATTAATTACAGATTATATAACTTGAACTAATGGTTAAAGGAGAATGCCAAGCAAAACACTGGAATCAGTCATAAAAAGCTGTAATGATTTTTCAAATGTGCCTCCACTTAAACTACTTCAGTTGCCGCTGCTGCACTGACATGCATTTGCCCCGCTGTTCACCACTGCCCCAACGTGCTCTGCGCTGACTTTCACTGACTTGCAATGCTCTACCCCACTTGCCACCACTGCACCGACATGCAGTACCCTTCTGTTTGCCACTGCACCAACGCACACTACCCCAATCACCACCACTGCACAGTTGTGCACTCCTGCACTCACCACCACTGCACCAATGCTCACTCCCCCACTCACCACCACTGTACCCATGCGCATTTCTGCACTTGCCAATACTTCATCGCTTTCTGCCACTGGACCAACGTACACTACTCCACTCGCCACCACTGCACAGACAGGCACTTGGTCACTTGACATAACTGCACCAACGTGCACTTTTCCGCTTTCTGCCACCGCACTGAAACACACTTCGGCATCTAGAGACAGCATTGATACTACCACCCCCACTACACCAGAGAACACTTCCGTATGCATCCTATTCAACAAACGGGTACAGTTGTACTAGTAACTTCATTATTGTGTCTACTTTATGCATTTAATGCATGTTTGGCTGTAAATGATCCGATTCATGTCTCGTTCATGTGATAGAAATGTTTGGCTTAACTACTTCAAAGCAGGGTCCATCCTGTCCTTGGCCGGTGTACAGCTATGTGGCTAGAAGATATTCACAAGAGATGGAGTTTACTGACAGAAGAGAAACAGAAATGTCTTTGAATTTAACAAGGGTTTAGGCAATTCCCCACTCTTTCCAAAACTAAAATAAATCCTTGGCTTTAGATATAATTTTAGAAGCAGTATGGTACTTTTGAAGCTTTTATGTAAGTTCAAGGGCACCATTATGCCCCAGTCATAGAGTCACAAAGTTTGGGTCAAACTTAGAAAAATAGCAAACCATTATAGAAATTTGGTGCGATTCAAAAGTCTAAAAACGTACCTGTCAATTGCAAACAGTGCTTTTGTATTCAAGTCATATGTCCTGGAGCACCGGTGACCTGTACCGGAGTGACTGATGACAGTGACCACAATGCAGAACTACTACAGGTCACATTACCTGGCTTATCTGCTTCAGGTCAGAGCCTCATGGGACCTGCTGTTCCAAGTTGACAGGTATGCTTTAACACTTAAAGGGTGATTAAACCCTCACGTCTTTTTGCATATATCTACTGCTAGCAAGCAGTAGATATATGCAAAAACTTTTTTTTTTAAACCTTTTGAAACAGGTTTAAACTTACATGTGTCTTTGCCGCGCACTTCAGTCCGAACATCTGAAGAGTCTCAGGCGCCCGCCAGGGATCTCGGGGTGGGCACATGCGCAGTTCAGATGTTCAGCCGGGAGACGAGGAAAGATACAAGGTAAGTCTATGGAACAACGTGCACCCGCACAGACTCCGTGGGACATCAGAGAAGAGGAGGACAGACGAGTCAGCGCTGGATCGGAGACCCACACTAGCGCTGGAGGGACAGCTGAAAAGGACAGTAAAGAAGAAGATGAAGGAATAAAGAGGCATCATGTAAGGTAAATCCTGATCCTAACATTGGGGGGGGAAATAGCCTTTAATGTCACTTTAAAGACCCTCTACACTTCCTTTTTAATTGTTTTCTGAAGCAGGCCTAAATTTTGCGTTCAGGTCATCTTTAACACTACATCTACAAGGCTTTATCTTGTAAAAGTGATTGTGATTTTAGCCTTGTTACATTATCCTTTGACTTGTCTTTTCAGATGTTTTGGGTGTAAAAGTTATTTGTGGTTCAGCTCTGTAATAAATAAGGCTATTGAAATCTAATTACACATTATTGAAAACCACATAATAAGCAAACTGGGAAATTAAAATATTACATTTGTCCAAGCTTTTAATTTTGTGTCAAATGCAATGCACTACTGCGTTGCCAACAAATTCATTTTCTTCACAGAGCATTTTCAATGGAATACTACAATGCTTATTTTGGAATTGGTAAGACTCATAATGAGTGCAATCTTGAATTTGAGTTAAATGTGAACTTTTCTATAATTCAGGTTGTCCTAGTTGCCAATGATGCATTGATTTCTTAATTGCGCCACTACGATCAATAAATTACCCCAATACGTGGCCATTGTGCTCAGTGAACACTCTGCTGTTGAATGTACACTATCATTAAAATAGTCTATTAAGCCTTCCAAGCAAAGCAATTACTTTATGACTGAAAGGGCTTCATTTATGAAGAAAATATTTATTACCAAACCACTAAAATGTGATCATAATTTAGAGCAATCTGGGATGCCTTTTACATAAATAATAAGGCTTCAGTCTGGGAGTGTCAGACATTCCACCATGGTGCAGCAGTACGGATATCTTGTATCACGTGTCGCGTGAGCGCCCTGAAATGGGGGCATACAGCAAGAACTGGCTTTGTAGGGGATGAGAAGACATTTCTACAAGATTTGACTCTGTAGCATAAGTTGAATCTGCCCCTTGGAGACAAAAATGAATTAATCTATCCTTTAAGCATTCAGAAAGCAATGTATTAATAAGACCGAGCCTCTGGTTCTGTTGCACATTACTGATATTTTTCTCAAGTTTTCTAAAACTGCAACTTTAAGCTGAACTCTAGACAGACATAAAAGACACAAAATAATGCAGTTCTGTAATCATTAATTCACAAATAAATGTATTTTTTTTTACATGCAAGTGGTGTAGGTATGTGATTTTTACTTTGCAAGTGAAAATAACACAAATCAGGCAGAGAGATACCTTCTTACTTCCTGTTGTCTACAGGACTGGAGAAGTGAAGGGACGTTTTCCCAATAGGATACAGATGACAAAAAAAATTGACAGGGTTTCTCCTCATTCATTAGGCCCCTTTCACACATACATCTGATTCCCCATAGAACAACATGGATCCGGTAATTCCTTTTTTTTTTTCTCCATCGCGAGATGGAGGAAAAAACTGGGTAGATGTAACAATGATGACATCCGTTCCTATCAGCAGGGGTCCATGCACACATCCCCTCCTGATCAAACCGCGTGAAAGGTGTCGTACTCTGTCCAAAATTGAAACAAAAACAAAATAGTAGACATGTAGACAATGGAATTTACTTATATACCTGTACAGCAACAGCCTCAGCCAGCCTGTCATTGATTTTGTACAGGCCGGCTTTACGCCGCTTTATGGTGCACCTGTCACTCCTGGCCAGGGAAATACGCAGAGATGTACGTTGTACGGCCTTCTTTCAGCAATGTGCAAGGGGCCTACATCTAAAGTGTTAAAGTAGATTAAATGTCCATTTACAACTTGTCTCTAACACTTCCCCTTACAAACTGATGTTTAAAAGAAGTGGTTAATTTGCTTAAATTCTTGCCACAAGTGGGACTGGCTCACTCCTTTCTTCAGTTGGCCATTCCTTACAGCTTACAGCTTGGTTACATCCACAGCCAGGGAGGGATCTGTGTTGGCAGACGCACAGGTTGGCTAACTCTGCCTGGGCAGAGATAACATAGATATACGATGGGTCCACTTTAAATACATCAGATTTACCTGTACGACATATTGTACAATCACATTTGTGCATGGTACTACTGTGCAGTCACAAGATGCGATTAGGGTTGTGCCAAGTACTAGCTTAAAGAAATCCAAATATTAAATTAGTCAATAAAGAACCTAATTATACTTGCTATGTTTTACTTAAAGAAAATCTGCGAAATGTGAGGCAAGATAATGGTGATGCAAAGGATACTGAGACACTGGAGAAATTCAGGCTTCTGCTGCCATGTAATCAGCAGTGGAAAAATCTAATGGTTTGACCTCTTTTATATCAGTTTTTGACACTTTGCAGAAACCTGCAGTAAAGCTATGTGAAGTCAGTACTCTGCTTGCTCATGTGAGCTTGGTGGCTGCATATAATTACTCAACATGGAGCCAAAAAATGACATTTGCATTACATGGAAACATTAATGTAGACATTAATCGGGCTCAGTGGAAAGATGTTGCTTTGTCTGACTAGCAAATTGCTGCATGCTGTATTGGTTTCTTCTCTTGATGGATATCCTTTGAGTTGAGTTTTTGTTTACCGGGAATTGTAATAAGTGCTGTACAAGTATGCTGTTATCCGTACACAATATTTCTTTACATACAGCAGATGAAGAATTGACTTCTTAGCATAAAGCTACAGAATTGAACACAAATGTAATCTTTCAAAGACCAACAGATTCCATAGATTTTACAAGCCTGTGAGAGACAAAAAGACAATTTTCCAGGCTGAATAAAAGAGTCCTTGTGTTCTGAAGCAGCCAATATGTATAGAATGACTTCTAAATTAAAAGGTATCATTTGTATTAAATGTGGTTGTTGGCTAGTGCAGTATTCATCACACATGCAGTGTTTTTGTCTGGCTCTGTGTTTGTATATTTTGAAGCGTTTTTTGACCAGGTTGGAAATGATATGAAACTAAACAATGTTTTTTGTGTTTTTTTACAGATATTTGTGATGTAGGGATTCTGATAAAGAACAGAAGAAACAAAGATACATTTATGCAACTTTAGTGCTGTGAAGAAACAAAGTGAGTATATATCTTTTAAAACATTTAAAGTTGACTTACAATCAGATATACATTTTCATGTTGAAGGCATAGTCCACATTTTACAAAAAAAATAATAAATTCACCTACATTGATTAAGAAAACCTGCAATGGATCTGGGAATCATGGGTCCAAAGCCCAAAGGGTCTGGGAATCATGGGTCCAAAGCCCAAACTCCTGCAGACTATTTCCCCAACCCTCTGTTATGGAAGAAGTAATCAATGGACTAAGAGTATGGTGATGTCAACACACTTGTGCTCCGCTGAGATCTACGATGGAAGATGGGACTTGTAATCACAGATCATGTGAATGGATCTGTGAATGAATGACATGACTGTGCAGGTGGAGCCACACACAGCTGCGTCATTTTCAAATATATAAAGCAGCCTGCGGGGGGAAGAACCCTCGCAATTTAGGTAAGTCCTTTGATTTCTTTGAAGGGTAAATACCTGGAAGTATTAAACTGACACACTACTTAGCATGTATGCACTTAAAAAACTAGGTTTACCTTTCTGACCATATTTAGGGTGTTACGTGAAGCAGAACACATTCCCTGGCCTCCCATCCTTGGACTGCCCGTCCAAGGATGCAGAAAGAGAGTCCTCAATCTCTTTCTGCATCATCTGTTATAAATGAACAGGAATCCTCTATACTGAGTGTTCCTGTTCATTCATAACTTGAGGACAGAGTATGTTTACTATATCCACAATCATGAATGAACAAGAGATGATGTAGATTACTTCCCATTCATTCATAATTGAGGACATGGTAAACATAATCTGTCGCTGAGTGTTTGTACCGCTCTCCATCCTGGATCGGTGGAAGCCGGCCGGCGGTGCGGGAGAGGAGTCAGCAGTCAGAACGAGATCTTGGATTGAGAGCTGTCCCCGCCCCCACACCACCGCTCTCCCGATCATACACAGGAGGCTGAGCGGTGTGGTAGGAGAGACACCGGCCACTCAAAGCGTTCTCCTCCCGCACTGCTCGGCCTCCTATGACAGTTTCTCTCCTCCCCGCAGGGACACAGAGCAGCGCCCAGCAGGGAGGAGAGAAAGCAGATGCACCGCTATTTCGGCAGAAAAATTGCACTTTCAGCATTTTTCCAAAAGTGCCATTTTCGGCCGATACGTTTCGGCGGCCAAAATATAGGTGCATCCCTACTGCTAAATATGCAATATACCTATGAATTAAAAAAAACTTTATTTTGCATTATTCTTTTGTTGAATTAATGTGCAATAAAAGAAACCAGTTTATCACATTTGGAATAAAATTCAAGTAGCCAGCGTGAACTTGTTTAAGGGTTTTTGAAAAAAATTAGTTGACTAAGTGATGGCAAGATCTAATGCTGCGGCGGACTATTTTTCAGAATTTTGTACAAATGTTTGAGCAAAATGGCTAGCTTTAGTCAATAACCTACAGTGAAGGTAGCAACCAGTAAGAAAAGGGAAGCAGTCGGAAGAGAGAACATTTTATCAAAATAAAAATAAAAGTGTTTTAGAGTATTGCTGGTTGTCGAACATAATAGAGTTAGATGGTATAAACAGAAAGATGTTGATGTGAATTTTTCTGATCTAATATTTGCTTAGCATTGCCTTTTCCAGCAAGTTCTGAACAGCACATTGTATCTCATTAACGTATCTGAGAGTCTTGCTGCTTCTCCGCTTTATCAGAGCTTTCCTCTAGTGGTTATTTTAGTAATGTCAACAGAGACGTTAAAATATCTGTGACATGATTTGGAGTCTGGAAGATCATGTGGCCAGCTTCTTCACTACTGCGAAGGAGCTGCTTGTCTGCATGTCACCTGCTGAGCATGACGGCTTGGCGCTATGACATAAATAATATGTGCTTTTTATTTCTCAGCTCATTATAGAAAGTGAGGTCATTTTAGTGTGCAAGGGGATTGTGTATACACAAGGCATGCAGACAGATGGAATTCCACATAACATGCTGTAAAATGAATAGTTGTCTGTGTGACATAGGGGCCATGTACTCAAAAAGCTAAACCATTTATTTGTATTACTTATATTTAGCCCATATTTATTTTTGAGTTCAAATGTTGCATTTGTTGTACTGAGAGTATGAATATGCACAACTGTTAAGTTTTGGGTAGACACTGATGGGCTGAACCACCCGCTGTTACTGGGAGCTGGACCTCACAACCTTTCTGCTTCATTTACTATAATCAGAAATAACTGGAGGGATCACAGGCAAGATAGGGATCTGTTTGTAATGGCTATGGCAAGTGGACAGATCTCTGCTTCAATCCTTGTTATCTAGTCAGAAGTGTAATATCCATAGTGGTGAGCTGATCCCCGTGAATATTATGTTAAAGCTGAACTCCAGGCACAACTTTTACTAACTCTTACAGTGGGGCTACCCCAGCACTGCAAGACTGAACTGCTCCTTTTGGTCTAGGGACGAAAATAAAGTTATACTCACCTGATCCTCCGAGCTGGTCGGCTGTCACAGCGCTCCTTCCTACCAGTCCTCTCTACCACTGCAACAATGGTATACCCCTTGGCGTCCTCACGTCCTATACACTGTATAGAACATGTCTCAGGGACCTTAGACCTTTGGTTCTCAACTGGTGGGTCGTGACCCAAAAGTGGGTTGCAACCCCATGTTCAGTGGAACAGCAAAACGTTTTCCTGGCACACTCACAAGCTGCCTTGGCGCGGCTGTGCGGCTTTCACATTTTCTGCAGAAGACGTGTATCCAAACCTCTGTTTTTAACCTCAGGTTGAGACAAGTTTTTTTACATGCTAGCTGGTGAGTGTGCCAGGAAAACGTTTTGCTGTTTTACTGTGTAAAGCCCATTCCGTGTGCACCTTGCTGTAAAGCTGCTGACGAATTGATGAGTGCGTTTGTCATCTGTTTTGGTGCAGTGATGCATGGGGGGTCTCAGCTGGCATTGGGATGTGTGGGATCCCTCATGCACCTCTGTGCCTTTTAAGGGGGGTTGGGCTTCCTCCTGACAAACCTGCACCCAATTTTATTTTCTGCCCCATGTGCTCCAAGATGGAGACTCTGATAGTTTAGAGTTAGGAACGCACTATGAGAGGTGCCTTGGCGCGGCTGTGCGGCTTTCACATTTTCTGCAGAAGACGTGTATCCAAACCTCTGTTGTTAACCTTAATGTGAGACAAGTTTTTTTACATGGTAGCTTGTGAGTATGCCAGGAAAACTTTTTGCTGTTTTACTGTTTAAAGCCCATTCCGTGTACACCTTGCTGTAAAGCTGGTAACGAATTGATGAGTGCGTTTGTCATCTGTTTTGCTTCCCCATGTTCAGTGCGTCCCCGTGTGCCTTCCACTTTTCTAGATGAGAGGCTCCTCAGCCTCCCCCTAGTGCAGCACTGTCAATTTTTGCGCCAAGCAGCTATTCAAAATATGTTCTACAGTGCGATTTAACGCACTGTACCACGCAATAGCACCTACCACATGTTCTGGTGTGAGAAGTGCATTGCATTGGCATTCATTTGAATGGCACCCCAAACGCACCTCCCACCCACAGTTTTATTGCCCGCATCGGAACTCACAGTACCGCAATGCTGCTGCGTTCCATTGCAGTGCAACTTGGGTCCCGACTTAATGACCAAGGACAAAGGTGAGTCCTGAGGTTACACAGGTTGAGAACCACTGCCTTAGACCGCTGCTGCAGAGGGGGAGGCAGGCTGGAAGGATCGGTCTAAGAGCAAGTCGTCTTGGAGGATCAGGTGAGTATAACTCTGTTATTTTCCTCCTAGACCAAAACGAGAAGTTGACCCTTACAGTCCAGGGATTAGCCCCACTGAAAGGGTTAAGAAACCTATTGCCCGGAGTTCTTCTTTAAATGTGTAATGTTGTCCTTTTTAAAACAATTAATGTTCTCTTAAAGGAATAATTTTTTTAAGTCTCTGAAATGGATATGGTTAAAGCCTGAGCTGGTCCTACATGTAGCAGTGTGCTTGAGCGATCAAACTTTCATTGTTGAAATTGCAAAACTTCACAATCAACCACATTCTGGTGGTCATCAAAGTTTGTGAGGGGCAGATTGCTTATTTTCTAGTGATTGCTTGCAATCCTAGATTTGATTCCTGTGTGAAAAGTGGTTGAAATTGAAAATTGCCACAGGTATGCTCATGTTTAGAAAAGGTGGCTAGTGATGCAAAAAAATATCCACACTGATTTTATTCCAAACAAATAAGGACCCTAAAGGTGTCTGGCCAACAATGCAGTGCTGCTGTAGATGACCTGACCTAATACTTGGATTAGGTCATATGATCTGGAATCCTAGTGCCTTGTGATCATTTGGTGGATATGTTTATGCTCATTCTATTGCCCTGAACCAGCCTCCTCAACCTACTTAATACCTGCCAGTGTAACATAAACCTTAAGTAATTCTGATTAGGGCTGCAGCTAACTATTATTTTTTTATAATCGATTAGTTAGCCGATTATTGAGTTCGATTTAATCGACTTTTGGCAACGTTTTCCATTGTCGATTTTAATCGACTTAATCGAATAATTGTTGCAGCTCTAATTCTGATCCCTCACCGTGATACGCGGCTTAATATTTACAATAGATTCTGCAGCTTCAAGCATTCAGATAGCGCACCCCAGCCCTCCGGAACAGAGGAAGTAATTAGCGGAAAGTAATTAGAGGGAAATTCTAGTCCTTTAGATGTACATAGACAAGAAATCTGCTAATGTAAATAATCTTATTTGTGTGCTAATGTTTTGTAAACCATGCTTCTACATATATTATGTAGTTATGTACATGGGTGTAGCCATATTGAATAATTACATATACATGCTCTGCTTCCTGCTTGGCAATCCTATCTTACCTCAATGGTTGCTAGACGTACTACAATAATAAAAAATATGTCAAAATGTAACCATCATAAAAAAATCGTTGGGGCCAATACTGCAAAAATATGTAATTAATAACTGAATATATCATATATTTTAAGACTGCACAAAGATTCTACAGCATGCTGGAAAA